AAGGGATGCTTCATATCACCGCATTGCTGTGGCCGGGAAAAAAGACTGCTTTCCTACTACTACTGCAGCTGTTCAAGAGTGGCTTAAACACTGTGTTGTTGCACAGCAGAAATGCCAATGGTGGCCCGATGCACTCTGGTGAGAAAATTTTCCATGAAAACTGGCTGATCTTGGAAAGATATACTTCTGCAGCAGCTCGCTCTGGAAGCCACCTCCAGAAGCACCACATTGCCTCTGTACTAACATTTCACGTGACAGAGGGCAAGGAAGATGCAGTCTGGATGCCCGATCAGTCTGCTGAGATCAGGCATAAGGCCCACTGCTCAAGGTTGCAAAAAAAATCCATTCTAAGAAAAATGTCTCTACTGTGTAATCTTTCTAATTTTTAATGACCACACACCTGCTCTTAGCTGGTCATTAGCTCAAAGCTGTTTTTTTCAGGTAGTTTAATATTCGTGACACTGAACTGTGTGCTAAGTAAAATACATGCTTTAATAGTGTTGTCAGACCAATAAAGGAATCTGCAAATCTTTGAAAGTGAAGGTCTCATGTAACTGGCTTGTTTGCCAGCTCACCCTTATTGTTGCCTAGAAGAATGAGCTGTGAAGGTCGGCTGCCTTTCTTGGCTTTGTGAACAAGATGATATTCATGAGAATGAAGACCTTTCACTTCCTCCACTTCTTGGACGAAGGCAATCTGGACAGTGCACAGAATACACATAGGCCATTTTCAGTCTCCATCAGGATACTCTTGAGTGCCGTGCCACAAACACAACTAAGCTCATTGCAACCAGTTCTCAAACTTGCTATCTGCTGAACATGCTTTGGCTCACTAATGAGCATTTCTTTCTGCTCACAGCCATGAAACAAGTTGGGGGGGTAGGAGGGAAGGATTCCTGTGTATTTAAATAAAAAGGTAATGGTGGATGAATCAGATATCTAAGATCAGCAAAGACACAAAAGAAGGAGCTTTTTCTTAACTTCAAGAATTAGAGTATCTCAAGGTAAGAACTTTTCCTATGTGCTGTATTACTATGGCTCATTCATGGGAATTTGAATAAACTAGATGAAATAAAAAAAGGGCGCCTTTAGGATTAATGACCCAAAAATGTCAGTGTAATAAAACATAGTGGGCTGTGCATTAAACACAGATTCCTCTCTTTGAATCTACCGAGTAGATGTCATGTTGGCTTGAATGACAGGTCAAATGCAGGACGAGCCGAATAGGGATCTGCCCATTATCCCCTAAAGTGTTTTTGAATCATCCAGAAAATTCAGCATGCAAATCTGAATCATAAAGTAAGACAGGTCACATTTCAAATAATTGCAGTGGAACTGAAATTGAAATTAGGAAGTTTTTTTGTTTTCATTTTTTTTTCCACCAGGCTTCAAACTGCAAACGAGAAGAGGAACTTGTGGAATAATATCCAGAAATATGAGTGCATTAACTTTCTTTGAAAAGTCTTCATCAAGAGAAGCACATTTCTTTGAACAAAATTTGAAAATACTCTTCTTGCAATGTTCAGTGCATCTTCCCCTACTAACATAGGGTACAATAAGGAAGGAGGCATTGGAAAATGAATACCAAAACATATTGCTTTTATTTTGTTTATTTTTTGTCCCCCAAAGTTTTGCAAAGACCCATGTGAATTGGAGCTCTTTTTTTTTTATAATTCACTTTTTACTGCTTCTTTAAAAATCTACTACTACTTCACTACTTTGTTCAAAAGAGGGGTAACAATTTGGGCTCTAACTATTTAATGATAATCTCTCGAGGAAGAAATAAAATATAGAAAAACAATGCAAGCAGTGACCATGTAAATGCTGGAATTTCTGAAGAAAATATATTATGCTGTCAATGAAATGAGAACAGGGCTGCAAAGCTGCTTCAGTGTACAAAGCCAGATTATTTATTGTTTTAGCTTTGCATGCATCTTTGATCTCTCTTCCTGTCATTCTACAAAGAATTTAAATCTCTGTAAACTTATTTTTGAACAAAGTGATCTTTTCCGTGCTTTTTTGCATTGATTGAACCTGAGATCTCTCAAATGACTGCTCTGGATGCTACAATTATGGCTGCATGACTAACCAGCATTCTTCTATCACTGCTCCGCTTTCGTGTTCAAGCACAGCATAGAAAGTAATCAGAAGCTGTGGAAGCAGATAGTATACAAAAACAGAGAGAGACACATTTTTTTTGAAGCCTGCTGTTTGCATTGCCTGTGATAAAATCTGATTTACTGTCAGAGACATTGTCCCCTACATTTAGTGCTAACACGTTTTCCCAGACACAACCCAAATGATGACTCGTTCTGTAGCCACCTACATGAGTGAATAATAGGATTGTTAAAGACTCTATAGGCTTATGTATACGATAGTAATTAACAGTGCCTGAGGAAACATTGCTGTACTTTGGAGCTCCAAGAACACAGATTAGCTTGATTCCTGGCCCAGGCCAATTATCACTCTCTCCAAAAATTTCCAGAGCTGATCTGGAAGTTAACATGGGCCAGAGTCTATTCAAACAGGAATTTGCATGTAGTCCCCTTATTTAAGATGCCAAGAGAGTTTAACAGTGCGGACACCATGGGCTGTTACAGGGCCAGCTGGCCTTGGCACAGAATTGTCTTGCAGCCATGTTTGATTCAGTAGTAGCAACATAGTCTGGGAATCAAGCCTGCCCAAAGCAGAAAATAAATTGCCAAGTATAAACTCTAGCTGGCTGACAGAACTCAAGACTTTTCTACGAGGACTTTCACTGCAGTGATGGGCTTGAAGTTTCTTTCACATTCCATTTTATGTTCCCCATACCCACCAACTTTCCTGATCTAAACACAAAGGCATTTTAAAATACATGACTAGCAGTAGATACAAAGATGTAGGGAGGCTGAAGCGAGTCTTTATTTTTCCCTCTTGATGAGTATATAATTAAAGAGAGTTCCTTTCCTGCTTATGCTGTACAAGGTAGACTTGGTGCATATCTGTCTTACCAGAAGGAATTAAGGTGCATAAAAAGGTGACTTATTTCAAATAATACCAACAACCTGTCTTTTTCTGCTTAGAAAGTACAATATATTTATTCTACTTCAATTCTTCTATGTATTAGCTCTTTCAGGGCAGAACGGATTAGTTTCTGCTATGCCTGCTGAATCTAATACTGGAGGACACTGAGGACAGTTCTGAAGTTTTTTGATTCTTTGAATTATTCACGCTATAGGCGAGATTGCATTTTACTAGATCTCTAGACTCTAGATTATACATTTATAAAACTCAGTTCTGTTTTATTTGCACTAATACTTCTGTGGGAGAAAGTGAATTTTAAAGCAAGCGGAGAGAGGAAATGGGAAAGAAAAGCAGGCCAGTTGGGCTCTATTCACCACTTCTCCTCTCCAAGATACAAGACCAAGGAACTTATCCTGTAGAGGAAAAGGGAAGCATGAGAACACTAGCAACAAGACATGCGGGACTGATTTAGAAATGAGGCAAATCACATTCTGACTGCTTCTACAAATACAGTTTTCTGTGGGATCGAGGCAGTGGTGCTCAAACCACAGCCTAGAGAGAGGACTGCAGCACATTCTAGTTGAGTGAAATGCAGACCTTCAGATCAGTGCCCGAGATCTGTATGTTCCATTATCAGTTTGCTTTCCTGGGAACAATTTAGGTTCTTCTCTTAAACTCACAGGGTATGAGCTGCATTGGGATATTTTCAGGGATGCTCTGATGGAAGGCTTCACCAGCTCTACTCCTAGTTGGGCCTTATTGGTGGCCTTAATAAAAAGGATGCAGAGATACTTTAGTGCATCTTGTCACTACTGCCATTTTTATTGTTCTCCAAACTTGTTCCACAGTCTTCAATGCTTTACGTGGAAAGCATAAACGCTTTTTGTTTGAATTTCTGCCTTTGAAATCCCCATGACTTGAACTTGCCCAGGTGGCCTGGCAGGACGCACATGATGTCCTGAGTCCAGTTCTTGTTGTGCTGGTCAGCTGCATCCTCCAGGCAGTGTGTCTACACACCCTTATTTCCTGTTTGGGGTTTTGTTGATCTATGTGATTTTATTTCACTTTTCAACAGACTAGTAAGCCATTCTTTAAATATAAATGAAAATGACGTTATTTACTTGTACTTTGTTTTCTTCCAAGCCAGCTTTCCAGCTTTTACGGTCCTCACAGAATCACAGAATGGCTTAGGTTGGAAAGGACCTTAAAGATTATCTAGTTCCAACCTCCTTGCCATGGGCAGGGTTGCCAGTCACTAGACCAGGCTGCCCAGGGCCCCATCCAACCTGACCTTGAACACCTCCAGGATGCAGCATCCACAGCTTCTCTGGGCAGCTTGTGCCAGGGCCTCAGCGCCCTCTGAGTAAAGAATTAAGTTAGATCCTAACATCTAACTTAAACTTCTCCTCTTTTACTTAAAAGCCATTTCCCCTTGTCCTAACACTATCTGCCTAAGTAAAAAGTTGGTCCCCCCTCCTGCTAATAAGCTCCTATCAGTCAAGAACTGGAAGTTTGCAATGAGGTCTCCCTGCAGCCCCCTCTTCTCCAAGCTAAACAAGCCCAACTCCCTCAACCTTTCTTTGCAGGAGAGGTTCTTCAGCCCCCTGATTATCTTCTGGACCCACTCCAAAAGCTCCATGTCCTTCTTGTGCTGGGGGCCCCATACCTGGACACAATACTGCAAATGGGGCCTCACAAGGGCAGAGAAGAGGAGGACAATCCCCTCCCTCTCCCTGCTGGCCAACCCTCTTGTGATGCAGCCCAGGATACAGTTGGCCTTCCAGCCCCCATGGATCTTAGAGGCTACTGTAACCAACCTCTGGAAGAGTTGCCCATGATTTTTAAGGCTGTTGTTGGAGCAATTAACCTCTAAAGTTTTATCTCTCGGGCTAGCACTGTTGCACCCCATTATAACACATAACGAAGGCCATATAATTATCTCCCAGCCACGGCTGCCATACTCTGGTTGGTGCCAGGCAGAGGTCCCTTTCACAGCTCCTGCCACCTCGCTTCTCTCCACACGGCACTTTGCTGCTTCTCCAGGAGCTTCCTTGCCTCGGGGCAGCTCCACTCCAACAAGGGGCTGTGCCAGCGCGTCCTGTTTAGCCCAGAACAACCCCCGGCCGACGGCTCTCCCAGCTGGCAGGGGACAGCGAGCCCGGCCTCGAAGCAACCATGGCCCACACCTTCCTACCGAGAGCGCTTTCCCCCAGCCCGTCCGCATGCAAATTGCAGCCCCGCACCAGGAAGTAGGCTGAGAGCCTCCCAGCCAACCGCCTGAAGCGGAGCGAAGTTCCTCCGCCGGCTGCGCCCGTCTCCCGGCCGGCGGGGCAGCAGCGCCGCGCTCCGCAGCTCACGCCCGGCAGCTCCCGGGAACGGTGGAGTTTCCTCGCTGCTTCCCAACTTTCGCACTCGGGCAAGTAAGTGCCTCCGCCGCCCAGGGGCCGTTTTGCGGGCGGGAGTCGGAGCTGGAGGAGGCGGGAGGAGGAGGAGGAGGTGGTGGTGGTGGTGGGCAGCCGGCCGACCCGAGGAGCTCCTGCCCGGGGTGCTCCGTGGGCGCGGGGAGGGCGGAAGGACGGCGGAGCCCGGAGGGTCTTGTCGCAGTTGGGGTCTCAGAAGAACGCTTTGCCTCTTGCCGCTGTGCCCTGCTTGCTGCGTGCGGCTGCTCGGAGCTGGGTAGCCGGGTGTCTGAAGGAGCCTCAGGAGGGGAGGTGGCCCCCGGGTATTCCTCCTCAATTGCTTTTTCCAGGAGGAATAGTTTCTGGAGCATCGCCCAGCTTAAAGCTGCTTCCCCTTCGCTGTGCGCTCAGACGTACTTTGGCTTAAAAGAAAACGGCATTGTGGTGTTTCTTATGTGGTGTTTCCTGCTGGCTGCTACCGTGGTGATGCTGTGTGCCCAAGGAGTGGTCGCTGGGGGCTTCTTTCTGATTTTGATTTTGGATCTGAGTGTCAGGTTAGGTCTGTGTAGTTCTGCATTTGGCATTTCTGTTGAAATTGCATCTTCTGCATGTTGGCAGTGAATGCATTCATGAGAACTCATCCTCCTGCTCCACTGACCTCAGTTGGCGTGAGAAACTGAAGAGATCAGTACTTAAAATTTGCTTAGCTACGTGTATACACATCTATACAGGATATATCCTGTATATCCACACATATGGATATGACTTCCCTCCCTGTGTATAGGGAGCACGAAGGTTCTTATTCTATTGTTTCACCTTAGCCCCCTGATCAGTGCCTCATCCCTTGCCCTTCCTTCACTCATGCCTTTGAAAAAATCCCAATCTGACCAGTCCCATCTTAGCACAACCTAATGCCAATTGGAAGCGACCTGAAAGAGTTTTGTAATCTAGACAGCATAATGTTAGTTGCAGGTATCAATGGGTGGGTAATTCTATGCCGATCACAGTACTACTATAGACTTATTTTTTTCCTTATTAAAAAAGTATTTGTTGTTGTTGTTGTTGGGAAATGGCTAAGCTGTGTTGGTAAAACAGCTCAGTTTTACCAAAGAGAATCACATCATGGGACTTGTTTCAAACCCAGTGCTGAATGCACTGAATGCAGAGAAGGCACTGCTTATGTTTTGTGATAGGACTTTACAGTATGTACCACCACCAACACTGGAAGGGTGTGTGAGAAGAATCATAGCTTTCTCTGAAAAAGCAGCAACAGGCTGCAGCAGAAATCACTTTGATGCTGTTAAATAGGATGTTATAAAGTCTTGGGCAAGGATTAAAAATTAATGAATTCTGTGATCAACAGATTTCTCATTCTGTTTCTCTCTTCTGAGATTTGTGGTGTTTTTCTCTCTCCTTTTCAGCTTTGTGAGCTATAGACTAGCTAGAAATGAATTGACTTAATAACATAGAGTTCTATTTTAGTTGTATGATGTTGACATATATATATAACCATAATGGTGTAGAATGAACTTTCTTGTCAGTACAGTAGTTGTCTGACTTGAAGTTATTCTGCTTTTCTCTCGCAGTTTGTTGAATAAATAAGATTGAGGTTGTTTACATACATATATATATATATAAAATATGTTTTCCGGTTTGTTTCTGTATGAAGGAAAGGCTGAAGCCTTGTAAGTGCCTTTGACCAGCAGAATTGTGCAATGACTTTTACTGACAGTGCAATGAATTACAAAACTTGCACACATGAAGTAAAACCCAGTTGCCTCTCAGATGTTTAATATTCCTCGCTTTTAATGTTACCCTTTCAAATGTATTTCCATAAATATGATGTTTTCTCTTGCATGTATTTGGGAATGTATAAGCAGCTCTCTCATGTACTGTTTTTTCTCTGTTTTATCTGTGTAATTGAAGTAAGCTCTCCCTCTATGAATTGTTGGCTCTTGTAAGGTAAATAGCATCAGGCAGCAGCAGGTATTGTGGGAAGGAATTCTTAAAACACACAGTGCAGATAGTCCAAGGCCCTAGGAGCTGCGGTGTGGTGACTCACAAGACCAGAGATACAATGGCTGGCCTTCCTTGTGTTGCATGTCGGAGAGGCGTGCTTGACCTATCTATAGCTGTTCAGGAGCATTTAAGGACAGCATTTAATCTGAGATGTGATTCCATTTCCATTTTGAAAGGGAGGCATTTTTCTATCTGTATTTTGCATGTTGTTTGGAATCTCAATGAACATCACTGAGGTTTTTGAGAGGAAACCTAGTGGCCGTGAGCCAATTTTTTGTTTTTGTTGATAGGCCGGGAGATCTGAGGAGGGAGCAAGGTCTTTCCTTCTCTTCATACATGTGTGTTCTGAGCAAAGGGCAGCTATGACTTTATTTCTCGTGTTCAGGGAAGTGTAGAGCCAATTTTACTCTTGGGGTTCACAGAGTTCTTTGTAAAGGCAGGTCTTTGCAAAACTAGATGAGCACAGAAAACAAGTAGATGAGGAACAGCATGAAGGTTTCAAAAAAGAAAAAGGTGAAGGGACAGTAAACATGGAGTAGGATTCCTTGCACTTTGCTTGTGGCAACACATCTATAGTCAGAGTTGCACTGATCAACACCAGTGATCCCCAAAGAATGCAAGATGTCACGTGATAATGCTGGGGATGAGAGGAGAATCCACTGACTGGGAATCCTCGGGGCTGTGTGAGGTTGGTGTGGAGCTGGTGACACTTCCTCATGGAGCTGTGGAGCTGAGTTTATAAATAATTGCACAAAATCATGCATATCTGTTAAACAGTCTGTTATTTCATCCTTAGAGCATTTCTGTCTCTATGAGTAGTAGCTTCATTCTGTAGAATAAACATTGCCTACTTTTTCTTGCAGGCTATATTCCCACTTCTGTTAGTTCCTGCTGCTTTACCTGCTGCTTTATTTCTCTCATTTATTTGTGTGATCTCTTTCATGTGAGTGTAGGAGCGCTGAAGAGAGAAAGACTTCCCAACTTACCAAGCTATGCCGCAGGAAACTGTGTAGATAAGCAACATAAAATTACATTGGAATGAAAACGGCCAACAGCCTGTAGTGAAACAAACAAGTAGGAGGAGACTGCCCTACTACAAACAGCAACAGTACCTTCCCAAAGAAATGAGCTTCTACTAACAGAAAGCAAATGCTACGTAACTGTCCGTGTTGTGTATGTTCCTAGCTTAAATTTAAATGGTAATTGTTCTTCAGGGAAGGCTGCAAAGGTCTGTGCTTTCTTATTTATTTTTGTGTGATGCAAATACGTTTCCTGTTGATGTGGTCATCAAACGGTGTAATTTCTGAAGCTGAATCACCCACCGTGGTGTTCGGCATCTTTTCTGAAGATGTGGGTTCATGGTACAAAACATAAAGGCAGAACTGCATCTTGTGCTGGAAGTATTTGCTACAAGTACTTAAGAAATACTTGTGTTCATAGCATACCCTGAAGAACTATTCATTGGGGTGAGTAATTAGTTGTTTCTGTCAGCTGAGCATCAGAAGAGAGAAGATATCCTGACAAACGCTGCTGGAGAGAGGAAGAGGACATGAAAGAAAGGTGAAGAGTGTATGAGCAGATACACTCATCTCATTTCTATGGGGGAAAAATGGAAAACCAACACTATTCAGGCAAAAGTCTCTTTTACTTTAGGAGAGCATCGCCTGTCTGTTTCAAAGTGCTGGCATCTTAAGTATCTACAATTGATACCACAATTCTACAATTGATACTACATTTGCACAATGCTATGGTCAGTTCAAAGTACTGAAAAGATAAATGGTCTGTACAGTGTGACCTTCTTCCTCTATGGTCTATGTTGTATGAGGACAGGCTAGTTCTTCCTGTCTGAATTGTGGTTGATGCATTGAAGAATTTCTTACCTGATATGCAAAGGCTTGCTTTTTACTTTATACATTCATTTGACCAAGCCATACAAAGATCATATAAAAGTTCCTGTAATAGCAAACTGTGAGATGTTAAAACTAAAAAATTAGGTAGCTCACCGTATGGATAGAAGTACAGGATACATCTTTTCTTCTGGAATGATAGTTTTTAGAGTTTTCTTTGTTTTAGCAAGCTCAGCCTGCTGAAACAGAGAAAAGTTTGGAAGGAATGGACTCTGTCTGAGATAGGTTCCTAACTGCTTATTAGTTGGTTTAACAGAAAGCCATTCCAGGAAGCTTGTCACCAAGTTCATTGCCTGTTAAGTGGATTTACATCAGTAAATCTACTGACATTTTGCCTTATTTTATGTTTGCTTCTTTAGTTTATACAAATAAGTACATAGAGACTGCTTTAGAGAGACTGAATAGAGAGTTTGTTTATTTGTTTTCTTTTTGATGGCATTTTATATTCAATCTGCTTCTTGGGCATAAACTGAAACGACAAGTTATTACAGAAGTTAGTGCAAAGGTAAGAATATTTGACTGGTAAGCAGAGTTTGTTCTTTCCATATATGACTATACTAGGTTCTTGCAACAATATTAACATTAGAAGTCAATTCCCGTGTTTTGCTAATGTATTTGTAAGTTAGAGTAAAACTCAGTCATGGGTCAGACCTACTATCTATTTTGATAATGAAAATATTTCCCAGTTTTGTCATTGGCATGACAAAACTACTAGGTAGTAGTACATCCATTGCATTTATAGAAATTGCCAGCTCCAGCATCGTGAGTCTCTTATTCATTAGATTCAGTGGACGGAAGCTCTTTTTCTCCAGGGCAATTCCATCCCTGCCATGTGTTTTGATGTGATATCTGAGCCTCTTCAGTCAATGCTGATTGCCCTAGCGTGACTATGTTTTAGGTCCGGACAGATGGCAGCTGGAGAACACAATTGAAATGATGGTCAGTACTGGTGTCAGTGTCACTGAGGAAGTGAAAGTTTTTGGCAAACACACAGGAAGGGGATGGGCAGGAGAAAGAGGAAATCCGATGTTGGATGTTCTGTGTTCAGTTTGTTCAAAAAACTTTGCAAGAGGCATGCAGTTGTGGGGTAGCAAA